ATATAATACAGTAAGGCAGCTGCCTGTCTTCTCTTGAACATAGCAGTGAAATCAATATATGCCTTGAAATATAAATATATTTCTTTGCGCTTGTGATTTAAAAAAAAGTCTCCAATGAAACATTAATTCTAAGACGCAATACGTTTTTTCATTAGTAGTTTATGACATGAATGTACAACTCCTCTCTCCATCAAATGCACAAGCTCACATGAAAATATAATGTTTGTTTATCTTGAATGAAATGGTTTTAAGATTGTTTTCTCTTTACTTTTTTGAAAATTGGAAGTAACGTTACCACACCTTTGTAGTATAAAACAAATATAAACATTTTACTGAAACTCATAAATCTAGTAAATTCAGAGAAATGTCAGATTTTGAGTAGCTAGTTTTTTTTCCTCCAAGTAGACTACATTTGGGACTACATTTGGACATAAATGACACATAAAGCATCTACTGCTTCTTAGTCTAATCAAATAGTCTAAGCAATTACATATCTAATTTACTAAAGCCAACGTTTTAAAAAGATAGCTTCAAACAGGCGAGCGCTCAATCACAGTGTGCGCAAGTGTTGCGCAGAGCTGACGCACATGAGCACGTTTTTCATTCGCTGACTATTGTCATGTTAAACATTTTCGGTTGCTAGACGACAATAATGCACATTACACGCGTACAGCGAAGAGAGACGCGAAACGACGCCGAGGCTCAGCAATATTACTGCGTTCACACACAATATCGACGTAGGATCTGCTGCTGTTCCTAACGGCGACATCAGGAAACAGCTGCATCTTGGGAACTTCTTAACACCCCTTACCCATTTCAGTGCTCCTTAATGCTGTTTTATATTAGGATTGGTGCGAATCTTCGAAATGAGAAAATTAAGATTTCCTGCTGCATCATAATACTCGGACATTACAGGTCGTGCCTCCATCAATAGCCAATATCATACTGAATGAGAAAGTATTATGGTTCTATTGTTTGTAAAAGGCGATGATCAAATAAAAACAGACCATCAGATAGGCTATAATGTCTGTAGTAGCCGGAGAAGTTGTCACTGAAGAGGAGGTAGAGGATCTGGTAAGTACATTGACAGTTTTCATAGATGTTCTGGACTTTAACACTAACAAAAATTACCATGCAATACCATGTTTTTTGAAGATGGACTATGGTAATGCCTTGGGATACCACCTCATACAGAAAGTTATGTAAATGCCATATCATATGCATATGATAATCATCATTTAGTAGCATAGGTTATATTAAAGTTTAATAGTATTACCATTTGATATCACTTGGTAGTATTTTAATGTACATATCATTTGTTTGTTTTCAAGGCAGAGGACAGTCTGTGTAGCAGCTATGTGCCCGACACTGAAAAGGTGAGATAGATCACTTTTAATGAATTATTTCTTTATTTACAGATTTGAGGCCAGTCTGTCTCCTTAGTTCTGAAGCTCTTTCATTCTTGGACCTTTGAATCTTTGTCTCATAAAGGTATTGAGATTGTTGGATTTCTTTTCAGAAATTAAGAAAAAAGAAAGTTTCAGGCAGACCACCTCCTTCTCCTAGTAAGTTTAAGACTTCTGTTGAGTTTTCATGCCTGCAACACAAATGCTACCACCATTTCTGTGCATTACTGTCTATTAACACAGCATTGTAAAAATGTGGAAATAGCTGTATTTGCTTATTTCATTGTAGAGTACTTCATGTAACTGCATACACAGCAAAAATGCCTTTATAATAATACATCATTTTATTTAAATAAAGGGTCACCATACCTGAACAGTGCAAGCTTGCATCTGAAGAGAACTCCGGTAGCATCGTGGAGGACGGTGAAAGGGACACAGCTCCAAAACTGTAAAAGCCCCCCGGCTGGTACACCGAAGGACGTCTGGCTGCACTTACAGAATGATGGACATGGTCTGTCCCTTTTTAAAAAAAAATAATAATAATAATAGTATGTGGCTAACACTTTACACCATATTCTGCATTTTATCATTTTAAATTATGTATCTTCTACCAAACAAGATCTTCTAAATATGTTTACATTATAAGACCCAAACAGACAGCAGATCTGCACAGCAGATTTGTTGCTCAGAAACTGCATCTAGTTTTAAAGATATGACTTACTGGAAAACTAGACAAAATAGCTGATTATCACAGAATTCACATTTAAAGTGAAGTGACATGTGGCCAAGTATGGTGACCCTCTGCATTTACCCATCCAAAGTGCACACACACAGCAGTGAACACACACACCGTGAACACACACCCGGAGCAGTGGGCAGCCATTTATGCTGCAGCGCCCGGGGAGCAGTTGGGGTTCGGTGCCTTGCTCAAGGGCACCTCAGTCGTGGTATTGAAGGTGGAGAGAGCCCTGTACCCTCCCCCCACCTACAATCCCTGCCGGTACGAGACTCGAACCCACAACCTTTGGGTTATGAGTCCGACTCTCTAACCATTAGGCCACAACTTCCCTGCAATTTAGGTAGGTAGGTAGGTAGGTAACCTTTTTGCTCTTTTAATACTGGCTCAGTAACTGAGAAACATTCGCTCAGGATCAAAATATATAGCTTATATGATTTTGAAAGACAAGGAAATGTAATTTATCCATATAAAGCCTGCTGTATCATATTTGAAAAATGCCTCTAAATTATCAACATGATCAAAACTTTAATGACAAACCTGTTGTATGTAATCTAATACATGCCTTCTCTGCTTTCATTGTTAATTCGTACTTGATCATCCATAAATCATGTTAAAATGTGGTAAATCAGGTTTTTGAGGAACTTTTATTTGTGCATCTCTCAACTATCATTGTTTTGCTTTGTTTATGTTTTGCCCCCACAATGTAAAACTACAGGGCTTTCGTAAGAAAACAAAGCATTTAAATATCTGTTAGTAGTCTGTTATACTATTTTAACAATCTCATTCATTTACATTACAGTATATAAGAATTTATAAACAACCAAGTCGTTCAAAAATCTGGGCTCAGATTTTAAAAGAAAATATAAAAGAAATTAATACTTTTATTTAGCAAGGATGCATTAAATTGATCAAACGCAACAGTAATGTCACGCCCATGGACTGTTTTGTGTGTGTTTTCCCTCGCCACGTGCTCCATGACCCAGTTTTCTCCCATGTTAATTGTTTCATTAGTTCCAGGTGTTTCTCGTCATCCCCTCCTCTAGTCCTGTGTATTTAAAGTGAGTCCTACTCAGAGTTCCTTTGTCTGGTATTGAATGTCATCTTTCCCCGCTACGTGTGTGTTCCTGGTTTCCTTGATGTTTATTAAAGTCTGTTCGTTTGAAGTTTACCCCACGGTTTCTCGCTCTGTGCTCCTCACAGTAGTGGCAACGTGACAAATAAAGACTTTTAGGTTGTTACAAAAAAATCTATTTCTATTTCTACTTCTATTTATCAAAGAATCCTGAAAAATGTTTCACAGTTTCCACAAAAAAAAATAATAATTAAGCAGCACAACTATTTTCAACTGTGATAAGACAACATATTTTTTTAGCTGCAAATCAGCATATAAGAACAATTTCTGAAGCATCATGTGACACTGAAGTAATGATGCTAAAAATTCAGCGTCACCATCAAAGGAATGAATTTTGTTTTGAAATGTATAGAAATGAGTTAATTTCAATTGGAATAATATTTCACATGAAAGTTTTTACTGTTATTACCGTATTTTTTTTTACTGCAGCCTTTGTGAGCATAAGCATAAAGTTTGAACGTAGTGAAAATTAATTTTGTGTTGATCATATAGGACCCAGAGTATGCTAGAGGTTTAGTGGACAGAAAGACTGATCCTAGATCGGTGAGTATGCCATTATAAACATCTCACAAAACCTCACAATCACATTTATTCCCTCGCCACGTGCTCCATGACCCAGTTTTCTCCCATGTTAATTGTTTCATTAGTTCCAGGTGTTTCTCGTCATCCCCTCCTCTAGTCCTGTGTATTTAAAGTGAGTCCTACTCAGAGTTCCTTTGTCTGGTATTGAATGTCGTCTTTCCCCGCTACGTGTGTGTTCCTGGTTTCCTTGATGTTTATTAAAGTCTGTTCGTTTGAAGTTTACCCCACGGTTTCTCGCTCCGTGCTCCTCACAGTAGCGGCAACGTGACAAATAAAGACTTTTAGGTTGTTACAAAAAAATCTATTTCTATTTCTACTTCTATTTATCAAAGAATCCTGAAAAATGTTTCACAATTTCCACAAAAAAATAATAATAATTAAGCAGCACAACTATTTTCAACTGTGATAAGATAACATATTTTTTTAGCTGCAAATCAGCATATAAGAACAATTTCTGAAGCATCATGTGACACTGAAGTAATGATGCTAAAAATTCAGCGTCACCATCAAAGGAATGAATTTTGTTTTGAAATGTATAGAAATGAGTTAATTTCAATTGGAATAATATTTCACATGAAAGTTTTTACTGTTATTACCGTATTTTTTTTACTGCAGCCTTTGTGAGCATAAGCATAAAGTTTGAACGTAGTGAAAATTAATTTTGTGTTGATCATATAGGACCCAGAGTATGCTAGAGGTTTAGTGGACAGAAAGACTGATCCTAGATCGGTGAGTATGCCATTATAAACATCTCACAAAACCTCACAATCACATTTCATCAGATCAGTGATTCTTAATTTGATGAATGATATAAAATAAAAAATGTATTTCTCTCTTTTTGAACACACCAGATCATTAACGGACTGAAACAGAGGATTGTACGATTGGAGCAGCAGTACAAAGAAAAAGAGAATGCCTTAAGGTCTGATGCCAACTTCATTTATATTGTGCTGCCATGAAATTAATCAGGTTATGGTGAATCAATGCAGCATGAATAAACGTCACAGCACTTCAGCATAAGAGTTGCAGGCTAAGAGTGCAAAAATCTTAATAGATATTCAAATGATTTAATTTAACCTGAAAATAACATTTCTAGGAAATTTTTGGATTTTTAAATTGTCAATTTAAAAAATAGCACTAATTCACCAATGAAATAAGCTAATTTATAAACTTCTTTGTACAGGCTTTCAAATATTTTTGCTTCCATTGAAGGCTGGATAATTAACTTCTCATGACGTTCTTGTGAAAGTCATGAATTTTCCATTTAAATTTTCACTTGTTTTGTCGACTTTTATGTTGATTAAAAACTAGAGACTTGGACCCCAGTGTATGTTGAATCTAAACTGATGAGTGTGTGTTTGCCATTACAGTCAGCTTCAGAGTGACCTCAAAACCACCAACATGCAGGAAATGAAGATCACGGTAGAAACCTACTTTGAAGAGGTATCATATGTGACTTTATATAAAACTAAATGTATTTCATTATAACTTTTTTTTGTATTATTCCGGGTAATAATATGTTCTTCATTCTTAGGTTCAAAGATTGAGAGCACTTTTAGAGTCGACTGAAAGAAGGTACAAACATTGTTCATTTTACTTGTAATTTGATGTTTTTATTTAGTCTTTCTCTCACTCTCTTTTTCTCTGTCCAGTAATAAGGCAGAGAGCAAAAACATCAGGCGGCAAAACAAGACCCTTAGTGCAACGGTTCTGAAACTCACAAACACTGTTCAACACCTGGAGAACGAGAACCAGGAACTCAAAAAAGAATTGACACAGGAAGAGATGAACATGATGGAGAGCCCTGCGTGCCGGGCCAAGGGTACTTACATTTACAAAAGCACATCTTAACTTGCATCTACAGTAGAACTGGAAAAAACTATTTCAGCAAACGCCATTTATTATGGACAGCTGCTGAAAAAACTTGCTTAAACCAGCCTAAGATGGTTAACTGGTCTTACTTAGCTGGTCTCCTGACCTGGCTAATTTGGTGTTTAACTGGTTTAGCCAACCACCCAGCTAGTTTCCTAGCTTAAATGTGCTAAAAAATAAAGTTTAAACTAAATATTTAGTATTTCCTGCACCAAAGACTGAATTCAGTCATATGATGTATCGTATTTTTATGTTTTCAGGTTATATGGATTGGAGTAAACAGAGACTTGTGCGACGAATCCTGGAGCTTGAAAAGGTTTTTTATATATATATATATATATATATATATATATATTTCGGTATATACAAATATACATATACATGCATATATATATATATATATATATATATATATATATATATATATTTCGGTATATACAAATATACATGTACATGCATGTATGTATGTGTATGCATATGCGTTACATTAAACATTACTTGTAGAATGTACATGTGAATGTAGTTTATTTGTCTCATTTTTTCAGAGAGTCGAGCAGATCACCAAAGCATCAGACTCACTGAAGAGCCCAGACAATAAAGGCACTCAGTCAGAATCGGCCAATCAGAGTGATTCTGTCAACACAGAGATGGAGCCATCTGTGATTACAGAGAATGATGCACATTTGAAGGAAACAGTTAAGAAACTTGAAGAAGAGAAAAAGGAACTAGAGGGAAAACTAACCCAGAAAGAGTGAGTGTACTCAAAATATCACGTGATCCTTCAGAAACCACTCTAATATGCTGATTTGGTGTTCAAGAAACATTTTTATATTATAACTAAAGTAAAAACAAAAGTTGTGCTGCTTAATATTTTCGTAGAAACTGTGATTTGATGAATAATTTATTTCAAATGGATTCTGAAATATTTCTGATATTTTCTTAGAAATTTCTGATTTCTTATTCATGAAATTCTCAAATGTTCGACCTATTTAAAATCAATTCTGATTGAAAATATTTATGTCTTGTCTTATCAGTGAGGAGATAAAGCAGTTGTCTGCTGAGAAGGATACGAGTCTGAAAGAGGTCGAAAACATGCTGAAGGAACAAATCAGAGAGCATGAGAGACTGATGCAAACACATAGGTTTGTTATAAAAAATAATGAAGGCATCCATTAATTAAAACTATATAGTGGTGATGCTTATAGTTACACCCATAGACTGTATAAAAACATGGACATAGTGTCCGTGACGTCACCCGTAGGTTTCTGAAGAGCGGTTTTGAAGCTCAAAGTGGGCGGAGCCAGCCGTCGCCATCTTTGATTATGCTGCGCGTCACTCCCGCATAATCAAAAATGGGCAAAGAGGCGGGAGCTGGTTGCTGAAACCATGCCCACCTAGCTCGACAACGGTGACAGCAGCGGCAATCCGCCTGTCACTCAAGTGGCCACACCCTTAATTATGCAGAACTTTAAGGCTTAATATAATTTAAACGGATGAGTTATAAAAAAGTTCACCCCCCCTCACAGTTGTCATGAAGGGCAAAATTAGCTATATAGACATAATTTTTTGTACCAGGCTGTAAACATATTTTTTTCTGCTGTAAAGTTGGGCATTTTAGCATGGGGAGTCTATGGGACTGACTCCCTTTTGCAGCCAGCCTCTAGCAGCCAGTCGATGAATTACAGTTTTAGTCACTTCCGCGTTGGCTTCACCAGAGAGACCGGAAGGTTTCCGCTTGGTTACACCACATGACTTCTCACATGACTAAATCTTAAATGTGATGTTACTGTTATGTGGGACAAAACATATTAAACCCTGATTTAATTTTCCAAAGCTCTTTTCCAAATAGTTATTTCTTTATTGAAATAATTTGTGCTCCTTTAGAGAAATGATTTACCATTGTCACTGTTGGAAGAGTTTATTAAACATTCTTTTATATCTGTAACATTTCTGTGACATTTTTCTGAGTGAACAACCTTGGTTATGTGTGCAGAAAAGAAAAGTAATTGCAAAGGCATAAAAATGTATTACATTTTGATAAAAGATTATGAAAACAAACTTTTTTCTGTTTTTCTAGAATACCATGCATTGGTGAATCATGATAAATATGAACACAGAAATGTATTAAGAAAGTAAGTAAAGTCAGTTTAGATGTCATGTTTTTTTTACAGGCAGGAGATGGGCGCACTGACCATAGAAATCAGCTGTTTGAAAGAGAAACTAGAGGAGGAGAGAAAACTCAGATTAGTACAAGATCCAAGTCAGGTAATACTTTCGAAATCTTTCTTTAACAATGTACACAGTTCATTCAAGTGCAGACAGCAACTCATTTCTCATCTCACAGGTTCTGGACGGTTCTTTGTCATTAACACTCACAGAACCATTGTCATCATCAGAAGTCGTGCCGATAGAGAAGAACAGAGCAGCTAAGATCATCCAGACACACTGGCGCTCCCACCGAACACGGGTTGGTACAACACATCGACACTTACTGTACAACCACAGTGAATGTAGATTATTCATGTCCTCCTTATTCTTCTACTCCGTTTCTTAGGATCTAGTTCTTTTACAGTCCTGTCTCAGAGGGCATCTAATCAGGCAGAGGCAGCTAGATGGACAGAGGCAAGCAGACCCAAGAACTGTCCCTGTTGCCATGGTAACTACTTGTGACCTTTTGATGGGATGTTTTATTATACACATATTTTTTTAATTTAATTTTTTAATTATACACATATTTTTTACAATATATATATATATATATATATACGTATATTTATATATAATTTTTTTCCAAATAAATGTTCTTTTGAACATTCTATTCAGCAAAAAAAAAAATGTATCATGGTTTCCATAAAATATTAAGTAGCACAACTGTTTTTAAAATTGATGATAATAATAATGAATGTTTCTTGAGCACTAAATCAGCATATTAGAATGATTTCTGAAGGGTCATGTGACACTGAAGACTGGAGTAATTATGTTGAAAATCCAGCTTTGCCATCAGAGGAATAAACTACATTTTAAAATGATATTTTATATTGTAATAATATTTCACAATATTACTGTTTTTATTGTATTTTTAATGGTTGTTGAGCATCATTTTTCAAAAACATAAAAAAAATCTTACCAACCTCAATTTTTTTTTACGGTAGTGCATATATTGTAAAACAAAATTTTTTAAATATGATGTTACATGGAATTATTGGTACTTATTATGAACCAAAAATAATAATTCCTTGTGCTTAACCCTCCTGACAGAAAAGTTTCTCAATTCCATTGCAAGAATTACAGTACTTTACGAAATGGACAAAAAAAACTCTTTTCACTATGTGTCTCAGAGCCAATCAGGTATGAACACTCGGGCTGTACAGGAAGAGGAAGTGACTCTGCTGCAGTCTGCCTTTAGGGCTCATCTCAAACGCAGTACTCTGACGATGGACAGGTGATATAGATAGTGTATACACTAAATTACTACATTGTACACTCAAATACTACATACACTACACAATGAATAATTTTTCCACTTTGCCATATTTATATAATTGCATATTTATATTATGTGTATTGCATTCAAAAAAATAAACCTTGCACAGATGATTGTTCTATTTGGAGAATGCATGTATGCAGTCACAAATATGGTTGCATGCATGGCCAGGTGGTCTCCTTACAGCCCCATGTTGACTTGACATTGCAGGGTGTCTGCAGTGACACAGTCTGTATCTTCCAAACATCAGAAAAAGCTGTGTCTCTCCAAACTTGTAACACACATAATTACCTGAGCAACTTAAAGTGGAAATGAAACAAAAATTTTTTTAACTGATTGTATATCGGCAATAATGACTAGACAGAGAAGAACATGGATCATGAATTATGGTTTTGTGATTTTCACACTTTTATTCTGCTAAGATCATGCTCTTTTGACTTCTAGGAGCTAAGCCTTCTAATAAGGGACAAATATCATGTTTTGTCTTCACACTCCAAAAGTGCCTTGTGTTGAATGATCATCTTTAAATGAGGATCAGGGATTTACTATTCTTCGTTTACTTTTCATTGTAGATCAATATACATATTACACAAAGCAGGATATCGCATAAAGTATATTTAAGCCATTGTGTGTGCATTTAAGGTACACCTCTGATTGATATAAAAAGTACTGTGAATCTCCACAAATGTGGGTGATGTATGTAAGATATTGCTGTATAACTTTATTCAGATTGGGAAAAAAATGACAGTAAATGCTGTTTCACTTAAATGTTGTCAGCGTGTTACCTGTTATTATAGCTGGTGTATCTGTATTGAACCAATAATAGCACTGAAAAATGTGATGCTGTATTGCGGTTTTTAAAGTCTTGTTAAAACACATTATTGTTTTGTGTCATTCTTGAATTTATGTTAGATTTCTGTTTATTAAAGACTTGTTTTCTCTGGTCTTTTGTGCTAAAGTATGAAAATACCATTTCCTAATAACTTACTATCTAGCAGTGGATACCTGATAATTAATTTCTTTTTTTTTTAACCAATGAATATACATTACTTGTCCAATCGTTCGTGATTTACTGGATAAGGCTTAAGCATGGTGATTTTTTTCAGTATTTTGTTATTCACAATTTCTACCTGATAAAATATTTTAAAGCTTGGCAAATAGAAAAATGTAAACATGGTGTTTAAAGATTTTAATAATAAAAAGTGATTTGACCTTCTCAACTGTATATTTAAACATTTTTAATTGTATAAACTTTCTCCATTTTTTATTATTTTTGTTTAAAAATCAAAACCACACAAATCGGTATAAAACTGCATTTGTAGATTAAGTAGGGGTTGTTGGTTAACAGAGTTGCCATAAAATAAACTGACAAAAAAAACCCAGTATGTAATATTTTGTTTCACCTTATGAAAATTTTCTGAACATTAAAAAAGTTTAAGCCAATCACAATTCAGTATGCAAATAAATGCAAGAATGAGGACCAATCGGATCAATTGATTGTGCACATTTACAATCGGGTCATTGTTGTTTTCAAACTTTACCCTTTTTATAACTTAAGCGTGTAACTTATTTTTTTAAACGTTTGCAATATAGTTGTATGCGGTATAATTTATAATAACAATAGAAAGACATGACTTGAAGTAGCGTCATTTGACCACTAGAGGCCAGTAAACATTAATTCCAAATTTTTCCCAGACATGAAAATATCCAAATGATGTGTCATTAGTAACCCTTTGAAATAATCAATAATTATTTTTTTGATTTTGTTTTGGAAAAGTGTGTGAAAATTTGTGTTTTATGGTCGGTCACAATTGTGACCGGTGGGATAAGGTTAGTACTGAATTAACATATTTCTGCAGTCATAAAAATTGTTATATATCTAAGCCCAGCTATTTTAAACTGTTTGATCACATTCTAAGGTTATTATTATTATGCATAAAAAAACGTTATGCAACATTGATAGGAATACTGAGATAAAAAACATAAAAATCCAACCATCAACGCATTTCAAAATTGTTACTTTTTTGTAAAATATAACATCAAATTTGTATATTAGTGCTACCAGTATTACAACATCAATATTGTAAATTTTTTGAAACATTTGAATTTTTAATTCAGTGCACTATTTTGTCATTGCAGCATTTTAGTGTAATTTTCACTAACAACTGCAATTGGATTTATATTGTAAACCTAAGTTCACTGTTATCCCACCGGCCACTATTGTGACCATCAACATGTTTACTCATTCTATGACCACACTCAACAAATCTGAATATATGTGAATGCATATATTAATACTAGACACCTTAAAGATGTGTACCAAAAATCTTTGTCATATCTTTATGTTAACATATTTTACTAGCCTTTTGTTTTGGAGCTTTGATGCAGTTATCATCTTCTCAAGGTGCAAAGTGCAAACTGGAAATAAACTGCTCTGGTCATGTGACAATTTGCACTAATCATGTGAAACTGCACACACAGTGTTGCCAATTTAGCAATTTTGTTGCTAGATTTAGCAACTTTTCATACTACCCTAGCAACTTTTTCTTCCAAAAGCGCCTAGCAACAAATGTAGCTATTTTTAAAATGTATTTGGCAACTTTGAGCAACTTTTGATAAGTGACTTAAACAATAAAAGGGACACTTTTAAAAAATATATAAATTACACAAAAAGAGGAAACCAAAGATGACTAGCAGTACACGTCTCACATGAATTAAGTTAGCTGCTATTTACAATTGTTCAATTTAATAATAATAATAATAATAACAACTGAATAATTTAATAATTGAATAATTGTTCATTTATGACACCTTGTTAGTAGCTTGTACCTGTGATTGTTGGTACACTGTAAAAAAAAAAAAATATCTAGAAAAATCGAAAAGTTAGTCATTTTTTCAGGACATTATCCGTTGTAATCTGAAAACACTAAATGCAATGCGTAATTTAAATTGCAGGGACAACACCTGTAAATAATTCCTCTATATTAACATAGTAGATTGTGCCCTATTTTTTACAGACTTTTAGATTGTAGCATACTAACTAACTAACAATACACTGCTTAAAATTGTAATTGTTCAGAATGTATAGTTTTACTAGTTTACAAACTAGTAATAATAAAAATAATAATAATACACTTAAATTGTAATCGTACAAAAATGTGTAGAGAAAGTACTGAATAATTCAGTGTTGTGTTTAAAAATTGTTATTTATATTTTAATATTATATTAAGCATTTATATTATATTACAAACAAATATAAATTAACATAAATTGCTGAGATTCGATGTAGTGACAATTTTGCGTCATGATGGCATAATAACGTCATCACGCAATGACATCACAACGCCATTTAGCAACTTTTAGCAACAAATCAACCTTCCTTTAGCAACTTCCCCTGAAAATTAGTTGGCAACACTGACCTGAATACTGCGTATTATTATGTAACAACGTGTAAACGTTATTTGGCGGTTTTTCTAGCATACAAATAACAATGGATAAAGATGAAACGATAGGGATTGGAGATGAATTTCATTTACAAATAAGGTAGGAAATGTGCATACTTTTAAATCGACACCTGCCACGGTGTTTCTTGTCATCTGTGATCAATCTTTGAGTGTGTCCTAAAAGCAGATGAGGAGAGATATTAAAGGGGTCATATGATGCGATTTCAAGTTCTCCTTTCTCTTTGGAGTGTGACAAGCTGATTGTGCATAGATAAGATCCCTGAAGTTGCAAAGACTAAAGTCTCAAAACCAAAGAGATATTCTTTATCAAAGTTAAGACTCTGCCACGCCCCCCTAAAACGGCTCGTTCTAACACGCCCCCACATATCTACCTCACTATGTGGAAATATTAGCATAATTCGCCCAAATGTCCACGCAAAGAAAGAAGGCGTGGTTTCAGTAACCGCAGTTAGTGTTGAAGCAGCATGTCAGGGAGACGCTGTGTGTTTCTAGGCGAAAGCAAAAGCACTTTATTTGGTCTTCCGGAAGTAGATGCATTTAGGAATCTTTAAGATTACTTACAACAGAACAGCAATGCATTTTATGGACGACCGTTTCGTGAACCTAGGAGAGGAGGTCTTTCTGACTTTGCTATGACAATCTGGTGCTTCTGAATCAGCTACTGTTTTGTTATTAGTTTAAGTATTTGCTATTGACTGTTCAAATGCGGAGTTTTGCGCATCGTGTGTGTGTGTG